TTTTGGGGGGTCATACCTGGCCATATTCGGGGCTTACTCCTGGGTCTGCATTCAGGGATCACTCCTAGCAGTGTTCAAGGGACCTTATGCAGTGCTGGGGATCAAACCAGGACCAGCCACATGTAAGGCAAGTGCATTAATCTCTGTATTATATCTTTGGTCATTGGTGAATTTATTTTTACAGAGGTGTCCAAGGCAATTCAATATGGAAAAAAAATGTCTTTCAACAAACAGTGCTGGGGCAAGAGAAAGAAAGTTCTTGAACGGCACAGAGCCAATCCTGGTTTGATCCCCAGCACTGCATGATGGTCCCCTGGGCATCCCTGAGAATGGCCCCTGAGCACAGAGCCTGAGTAACTTCAGGTGTGGCACAAAACCCCCTTACCCTCAGAATCCCGCCAAACAAAAACCAAATATTGCTGGAAAAACTGAATATCCGTTTGCAAAAAAAAAAAAGCATTAAACTCTAACCTCACACTGCAGACAAAATAAAGTAAAATTAGACATAAATAGACGAGCTAAAACTATAGACCTTTAACAAGGAAATATAAGATAAAGTCTTCGTGAACTTCGGCAATGTTCTTAAATGTAACACCAAATGCATAGTTCATAAGACAATAAATTTAAAGAGGTCATTAAACTTAAAAATGTTGGGCCAGGGGGTATGGAGCCGCCAGCAGGTCAATCTATACCTGTGAGGTGAGTGCATCAGCAGCCTGATGGCACCTTCAGACTTCCAGATACCCCAAAATTGCCGCTGTGCCTTTGGCCAGACCCCAAAAAACTTGGGGCAAAGTTTGCCAAGAAAGTAAATGACCAAAAGTTAGGTATGTGGGAGACACACACACACACACACACACACACACACACACACAAAACACCACCGGCTCAGCTATATTATTGGTTGGAGGTATGGCCTCTTTGGTTCCTGATCGAACTGCTTAATGGCCATGATCCCAGAGACTCAGGAACAAATCTTGAAATCCAGCTGTTGTAGGCAGAAATGCATCCAGACATGCAGTAGGTTACTGTCGCCAGGCCACACCAGGGGGGAAAGGACAGTCAGATTTGGGTTCACAGTGACGAGACACACAGGGCCTCATGGAATGGGAGTGGAGCTGACCCTTTCCTCCCCATCCCAACGAGACCCCGAGTCACTGCCCATGAACAGCCTCTCTCTGGCTCCTGATCAAGCTGCTTAATGGCCATGATCCCAGAGACTCAGGAACAAATCTTGAAATCCAGCGGTTTTAGGCAGAAATGCATTCAGACCTGCAGTAGGTTACTGTCGCCAGGCCACACCAGGGGGGAAAGGGTGCTGTCCGTCCGCCTGCTCCCCCTAGGTGGCTTGGTGGCCGCCATCCTCCAGAGGCCATTGGACAGTCAGGTTTGGGCCCTCAGTGATGAGACAGGTGGGGCCTCACAGGATGGCGGTGGAGCTGGCCCTTTCCTCCCCACCCTAACGAGACCCCAAGTCGCTACCCACGAACAGCCTTTCTGGCTCCTGATCAAGCTGCTTAACGGCCATAATCCCAGAGACTCAGGAACAAATCTCGGAACCCAGCAGGTTTTGGTGGAAATCCCTCCAGATTTAATTGTTAACATTTCGGAATTTCAAAATCGCGTGACCACTACTGCACCATGCGACATATGTTATTCAGAACCAGCAATAGAGAACAAAACATCTACTATTGCCTTTTCAGCAGATCTGAGTGTTGGGGTAAAATCCCAAATAATAATGGTGGGTCTGGTGTCAAAATATTGAATGTAATCAAAGTAGAGAGAGTAATGTGGAAATCCTCTGCCCCACAGGTAGGGGGAAGGGGAGGGATGGGGATATACTGGGGTTTTTGGTGGTGGAGAATGGGCACTGGTGAAGGTATGTGTGTTTCTTTGTATGACCGAGACTTAAACCCAAAAGCTTTGTAACTGCTCTCATTGTGATTCAATAAATAAAATCGTAAAAAATGAAAAAAAAAGTAAGGTGGAGTTCATGCCCAATTCAATCAGCTAATCAGTGGCTGAATATATAGCAGTTCTCCTACATTAAAAAAAATGTTGAGCCGGAGTGATAGTACAGAGGGAGGGCGTTTGCCTTACGCGAGGCCGATCTGAGTTCCATCCCCGGCATCCCATATGGTCCCCCGAGCCTGCCAGGAATGATTCCTGGGTGCAGAGCCAGGAGTAATCTCTGAGCATCACCAGATGTGACCCCAAAAGAAAAAAAATAACTCCTGGCCGAGAGCCTTGGACATTGTGGACCCAGCCCTGATCTCTGGCACCCTAGATGGTCCCTTAAGCATAGAGACATAAGTAAATCCTGACAGGAGGCGGAGCAGAGTGATAGTACAGCAGGGTGGGTGTTCGCCTTGCACAGGGCCGACCCAGGTTCTGTCCAGATATCCCATATGGTCCTCCGAGCACCACCCCACCAGGAGTAATTCCTGAGTGCGGAGCCAGGAGTAACCGTCCCCCAACACCCCCCCCCCAAAAAAAAGGAAAAAGAAAGAAAGAAAACATGTCGACAGAGGGACTTGTACACATGCTCTCAATGGCATGTCTGTGTCTGGGGGTGGGGGGTATGCCGTGCATGTCACCCACTTCACTCTGGAGAAACCCACATTCTCTCTCCACAGTACGGGAGTGTCTCTTTCTCGCTCTTCTGCTCCCATAAATAAACTATTTTTAAAAATCCTGACCACGGTCTGGTGTGGTCCAAAACAAACAAACAAAAAACAAAGAACACTTTTGCGCTTGGTGAGATAGTACAACAAGTAAGGCACTTGCCTTGCACTCACCCTACCTGGGTTCAAAGCCGGCATCCCGTATGTGCCCCTAAACACTGCCAGAAATAATTACTGAGTGCAGAGGCAAGAATAACCCTGAGCATCGCTGCTATGACCCCTCCCCCCAAAGAAGGTCCAAGTGAAATAAATGCACAATGCCAAATTAATAAAAATAAATAAACAATATTTTTTAAAAAAAATGTTTGCTCTTCAGAGACTCCATTAAAAAGAGGATGGTTGGGCCAGAAGTATAGTACAGCGGATAGGGCACTTGCCTTATGTGTGGCTGATTCAGATTTGAGCCCAGGAACCCCATATGGTCCCCCTGAGCCCCAGGAGTGATCCCTGAGTACAGAGCCAGAAGTAAGCCCTAAGCACCACTAGCTGGGGCCCCCAAACAAACAAAAATAGAAGATGGTTTTAGGCACATTGATGTTGGTGGAGTGCATAACATTGTACATGAAAAGCATTGACATTAGTTTCAAACAAATAAATAGAAAGTAAATACGACCAGAAAAAGAGCACAGAGGTTAAGACACTTACCTTGCATCCCACTGACCCTAGTTTGAATCCCCAGCACCACATATGATCCCAGAGCATTCGCCAAGGGTCACTTCTGAGCACAGAGCCAGGACATGCCCCTGAGCATCACTGGGTATGGCCCAATGCCCCCTCCCCATAAATAATAAATAGAAAGTAAAAAAAATGTTTTTAAAATAAAAAAGACAATATACAGATTGGGAAAAAAAACATTTACTAAAAATTCTCATAATAAAGACTTATTTTCAGAGACAAAGCAATAGTACAGAGGGTAGGGTGCTTGCCTCGCATGTGGTTCTTCCGGGTTAAATTCCTGACACTCCATATGGTTTCTGAACCACTCCAGAAGTAATCCTTAAGCAAAGAACTAGGAGTAAACTCTACACTGATGGGTGTGGCCCAAAAGCAGAGGGGAGGAGGGAGGGAGGGAGGGAGGGAGGGAGGGAGGGAGGGAGGGAGGGAGGGAGAGAGAGATTGAGAAAGATATTCAGATTATAAAAAGAAATGTTTTTCTGGGGGGGGTGTAGTTCCTTTTTTCTGCTTCTTTTCCTTTTAAATCTGCCCTTTTCCAGGTATTAGTTAATGCCCAAGTATTAGTTTATTATTTTTTAGGGGGTTTGGGGCAACACTTGGCTGTGCTCAGAGTTTACTTGTGTCTCTGTGCTCAGGGATCACTCCAGGTTCCACATGGAGATCGGATCTGGAGAAGTATGAGCAAGGCAAAAGCCTTACCCGCTGCGCTATTCCTCTAGCCTCCCAAAGCATCATTTTATCTGGAAGGCAGCGGGGGTTGGGAATTTGGGCTAAATTCAGAAGTGCTGAGGAACTATTTTAGACTCTTAGAGTTGTTTGTGGTGGTGCTTGGGGGAACCTCGTGAGATGCTGGGGACCAAACCCAGGCAGGCCTCCAGCATGCAAAACATGTGCTCCTCCACTAAACGATCTCAACAGCTTTTGGCAGTGATTTTTAATTCCATGAGGTAAAATGGTATTTTTATATTGCACAGGGGTCCTCCCTCACCCCATCTGGAAAGGGAGACCTGCGACTCCCATTTGACATTTAATGGCTAAAGCGACCAACCTGGGAGACGCAGGTGACAAGGCTCTCTGACTTACAGAACTATTGCTCAGCCACAAACAGTTCTGCTCCTAGAGTTTAGGAATTGGGATCAGAAACAACTTGTCACTCACCTCAGAGATTCAGATCTGCCTGCTCTGACCTTCCTGGTTTAAGATTAAAAGTCTCATCAGGGCCTGGAACAATAGTATAGTGGGTAGAGCACTTGCCTTGCATGCAGCCAATCTGGGTTTGATCCCCAGCCAGGAGTGATCCCTGAGCACAGAGCCAGTGCTGGGTGTGACCCCCCCCAACAAAAAATGATAATAAAAAATTAATAAAATCCATCAACTTCACACACACTTGAAAATGTTTTTACAGTTATTGATAGTTGAGCTTTATTTTTTATTTGTAATGTATATTTATTTTTTATCGAGACTCCATGATTTACAAAGCTGTTCATAATAGAACTGCTTCAGACATACAATGTTCCAACACCAGTTCCATCAACAGTGTCCCCAGGGGCCCTGCCATCCCTCAACCTGCCCCTTTGGCAGGCATATAACAAATTTATGTCAGGTTGCTGGCTCCAACAAAACTTAAAGAAACAGCAACTGTACCTCCTGGTGCTCACCACAGGCTGTGTTCTTTACACCAACTGTATAGAAAGAGGAAGTATAGTAATCCCATCCCATATACACCCCAACTCAGGCCCTCTGCCTGGTCTGTATTGTGAACGGGGGACATGG